CCGAATTTTATGACCGAATTTTTACAAACGTATTTTTCACCATTTGCCGTATTATACCCGTAAAATTCCCATACCGTTTTTTTGCCGTACCCGTATTTACTAACTATAAACAAAGTTTCATTAACTTAACATGTACCAGCAGTAAATAAACAAACTTGAGAGATCCTTAACAACTAAAAACCCCAAATTTGCGACACTTGAAAGAACCTAAACAAACTATCCACAACCACAACTCTAAAGTTAAAAGCCACACGAAACAACAATACCTAATAGAAAAGCCAATTGTCACAGCCCTTCATATAAATAGAGTAGCGAAAGCAACCCACTATACATATATCTCATCGAACTCCTCTGTGTACATCTTCTTTCCCATCAACTGTAAATATATTACAATATTAGATACAACGTCATTGAAAGTACCAGAATAATGACATTCTAAACACCTAATTTTACAATCTCCATAAGCTAACCTTTAACAACAGCTATAAATCTAAACACCTAATTTATTTTGAAGAAAAGCATAAAGTTTAAGAAAATAAGAATATATATATTTAATAAGTAATTTAAAGTTAGTGATTACTGCTACCTGCATTAAAAAAAAAAAAAATTGACTTTACTCCAAAGCACTGGGCAACATTGTCCAAGCTTTGCAGCAACATGAAATAAAAAATGGATATATTTTTCTTTAATTTTGTAAGAAATAACTTGGATTAAAAAGTGAATGTTTACTAAGGTTTTTTTTTAAGGGGTTATTTAAGTTGCATCAATAACATAACTTATCCCTTTAATTTTCTTTTGTTTTTCTCTAAATAATAATGCAAATAATTTATGATAGGCATTTTACAACATCAGATTCAGTATATGAACCTAAGAAAATTTAGAAATCTACCAATAGCCAAACTTTGTATCAAACCTCCAAACTTAAATAACTAGGAGTGCATATCATAATGTGATGGAAATCTTATGCGGTCCAGTGTATAGAGAGAGCGTTACCAATGTACTTAATGCAACCGAATTGCCTCCTATAAAATAATTGTTACATGCAAAGTTTCTCAACTCTCAAGGTATCCTTTTTCAACTCTTTAGAGGAAGAATTAGTTCTAAAATCATGATCCAGTTCTTGTCAAGAAAGAAAGCTAAAACAGAAACACACATTTACTATAAAAACTCACAACCCAAGTATAATAAAGATTTGCTCACAACTTACTCTTACAAATTTTCTCTTACAACTCCAACGTAACAATTCGTAATTGGCAAACTCACAAATGGGCAAGCGGGATCCATTGTTGGGCAAGCGGGACCCATTGCGAGTGACGAATTGCGAGTTAATTACTATGTCGGGATTGTGAGAAAAAGTTTATGAGATTGAGTTGTAAGTTGATTCACCTAAATTTCAAGCAAACCAATGTTCATATCATAAAACAATAAGCATAAATCTCAAGTAGGTAATTACTCTATTACAAAAACCTATATCCTTTTGCACAACCCAAAAAAACAAAAAAAAAAAAAACTCTCTAATTTTTCCAAACACTTAAATGACAAAACGTAAAATCACCACTTATTTATCAATTTATGGGTTAAAAACTCCAAAAGAATAATATAAAATTGAAACAATATGTCAACAAATCCAAAAGATAGACAATATATGAAACTCCCAAAAATGGCATACATGCATTTACATTTTTTCTTAAAATAATGAACTTCAGCATAGATAAAATCTTACCTATCAGAATAATATACCAAAAGATAAATCATTATTGCCTTCAGCTTGAAATTCTCCACTATATACACTCCTAAGCGTGTATCAATCTAAAAAACCTAAGGGTGTGCTTGAGAGTTTTTTCCCCAGTGATTTTGGAGGGTTTTTAATTAGACTGGTTTTGAGGTATTCTAAAACCATTACTTGTTAGATTTTTTATGCATTGGTTTTAACTGGCTCAAAAATCCTCCAGAACCAATGTAGTATATTTTTGACTCCCCAAATCAGGGTGTTTTGGTTGGTTTTAAAATTTTATTCCACAGATACCCTATCCACTACAAAACTATCCCAATTACATCCAAAAATCTCCAATGGATAGAAACTAAGTATTAAATATTCCTCCATGCTTTGTACTCTCTTAATAATTAATCCCTGGTCTTATGCCCCATCTACCTAGATTACTCCCTCCTAATAACATGATTTATCACATGAACCTGCACCTTTGTAGTCGTTTATTAATATGTTTTGCGAATCCCCAACCATATTAAATATAAAATAATTTTAAGCAATTATAAAAAAAAAAAAAAATTATAAAAATCTTGTTTCTAGATGCTTTCTTGGAGAAGTGGAGCTACAATTTTTCAGTTATTCCAAATGCTGCAAAGAATGGTGAAGAACGATAATGAGACTTTATCACATTTGAAGTTATAAAATATTAATAAGGAGAAAACAAATAAAGAACTCTTACCTTATAATAGAAAAAATAAAATTCTCAAGTACTAGTTGAAGTTGAGGACTTTTATTAGGCATGGCAATGTTCCTCGAGATTTTGGGGACCCGTCCTGCTTCGCCCCATATGGGGCGGGGAAGCCCTGGTTTTTTGGGGGATAGGGGCGGGGGTGGGGGGTGTTTTAATCCCCGTCCTCGGGGATGGGGTCGGTGATGCCTTTCCCCTGCCCCGCCCCGTATATAATATATAAAATTAAAAAAATATATATATATTTGTTTTTCACTAATACCCCTATATTTCACCTAATTACACAATTATCCTACCTATATAAACCCATATTTTCCTAATTTCCCTCACCCTAAACAATTGAACAAGAATAAACCTTGACCCATATTTATGTATAATTAATTATGTTTAAACAATTAATTTAAGTGTTTGTCATGTGGACGAGAATTAACTATATATTGTGTTTGATAATGCTCAAATTAATTTATGTTTATATAAAATTAACAGGGCGGGGACGAGCTTCCAACATTCCCCTTTGGGGCGGGGAAGGAGAATTCCTATCATCCCCGTAACAGGGATGGGGCGGGGGTGGGGAATGATTTTGAGGGTGGGGATGGATACGGTGAATGAGATCCCCGCCCTGCCTCGGCCCATTGTCATGCCTAATTTTTATGGGCATTTATGTAAATTTATCATTTTAAAAAACTGTCAGAACTGCGGGAAAATAAACTTCCAAATGCAAATTGAGTGTTTTAAAAACCGTTACTAAAAATCCCTCAAAACTGTTACGAGGGTTTATCCTCTAAACCACTATGATGATTTATCTTCATAACCGTCACCATGAAACTCTCAAGCGGACCCTTTAGAAGAAAAAAAAAATTTACAAAATTTCAACTAAGATATTTATGAAGTTATCTCAAACTTAAAAAGAAAAATTCGAAATTGTAAGAAATCTAGGATTTTTAGGGATTGTATCTTCGCGTGCAGATTTGGGCTTCTTAGATTTAAGAGTTTTAAGGTATACGTTTCTTGGTGGATGTTCGATTTCAATACGTTATTGATAAATAAAGTAATGGAGTTAGGACAAATGAAATTAAGATATGCTGAATGGGTAATGAAGGTGTTATGGAAATAGACTAAAGAAACGGTGACTGGGTAATGGAGGTCATTTGAGCCAATAACGAAGATTTATTGTTCACATTATTTAGAGATATTACAAGTTAGGGAACATTTATTTTGAAAAAGACAGCAAAGGGATACGAGTTTCAGAATAAACAAAAAGGGGATAATTTTCAATCAGTTGGTGTTAGTTTTAACAGAAAAATAAAAAGACTTAAATGCCCTTCCTCTTTTTTTTTTTTAATATAGATTTAGTTTTAGGGTTTTAAATTAAAAAAATACAACATTAAAAAAAAAAAAAAAAAAAAAGCAGAGGCCACCGACATCAACGTTGTTGACCACGATTGGCCACAACGACAAGATCGTCGCATGATGATTTGGCCCAGCATGGCCAGTTGTATCGTGATGATGTGCTTTTGATTTTTTTTTTTTTTTTTTTTTAACTTCCTTTTGTTTTTAATTTTCTTTTTTAATTTTAATTTTTTATGTTCTTTTATTCTTTAGAGTAATTTTAATTTTGTTTTTTTAATTTATTTTTTTAATTTTGATGATTTTTTTTTTACAATTTTTATATTCATATTAATTTTGATTTATTTTAAAAAAGTAATAAGTCAGATATATATAAATTTACTGTCCTTTATACGAAGTTAAACTTAACATCTACTTAATTTTGTCCTTTTTTTGTGTGTTTAAAAACTTGTCATCTTTTTCTATCTTTTTAAAAAATAAATGTCTCTTAATTGATAATAATCCCTATATTCACAACACATTTTTTGTTCTCCTTCTTCTTCTTCTTTCTTGTATTGGGATCACCTCATAATAATTTGTGATTTTCTAGCTAATGATAACCCCAACCAAACGACTTTTTCCCACCTAGGTTTGCCTAATGATACTTTTTCACCCAAAGTTTTATATTCAACCAATCGTTGGCCGATTCTGACATATTTGGACCCCACACCACCACCATTCTCTTTCTTGATCATCACTTACTAAACCCATTCAAACCTTGCTCCTGTCGATCTGTCAATCGCGGCAATCTAGTGATTTGTGAAACGCACAACTACCTCTCTCAAGTCAGATTCTGATCAATCTTGATTATCAAATTCAACCTACCACCACTAAAGACTCATCGACACCCATCTTCAAAACCTAGCAACCTGGACCGAGTTTGCTCCCCGTTGGTCACCGAATCGGAAAGTGTATTCTTTGTCATTGACGAATATAAACTTTGGGTGGGAAAATGTATTTTGAAACATTTTGGGTGGAAAAGTCCAGTTAAGGCAAACCTTGGGTGGGAAAAGGTCGTTTACTCATAAACTTAATTACAACTACAGTTGTCACACAACGCAACAAAGGCAATATGTTTCAACTATAATAACTTGTAATATATTAGTCTATGGACAACTTTACATTAGTTGATATCATTTAAGTTCTAACACATTAAACTTATAAAATTGCTTCTGACTAGCCATTTCCATTAATTTTGCTAGCAATTACAAAATCTTTCTTTTAAGATCATAAGTTTATTGAAAGTTAGCCAGATAAATCTATTCTGTGACAATTTCAGTTAAACCTCCTCCAAACCCAGCTCCTAAATGTCCATTCTTTGTACAACAGTGCTTCATGTAGTAGTTTTTGCAACAAGCACTTATTTCTCTCTTCTCCAAACTGATGCAACTACTCATGGCAACTGTTCCCAGGGCATTATCACTGACATTGCAACAAGCCCTTCTGTGAAGCCCTTCTGTGCTATGATGAGCACAGATGCTTTCTATTGCTTTTCCTATGTCATTTTCTGCATGGTTCGTGACAACGGTTTTGCTGCAATGACTATGCTTGTTTTCATGAGGTTCATTGTCACAATGTCCATGATGACAGTGATCTTCTACATACTTATCTTGAGTTTCTACTGATGAACAACCATGAATGTGAGTCTTTTGCGCCTCGAGATCATGATCATCCTTGCTACAATTCCCAGAATTACAGTGCTTCTTTGCCTCATGTGTTGCATCACTAACCACACAGTCATTGTGCTTCTGATTAGCCGCACATGAGTTACTGGAACAGCAAGAGCTCTGCTTAGGCTCACAGCCCTTCTGAGATTTGTTACCGCGGCAACAATGCTGCTGCTTATGTTGATGAGTACTCTGTGGTTCTTCTGAAGATCGGCAACACTTTCCTCCATGATTGTGGCTTTGCATATGTTGATGAGTACTCTGTGATTCTTCTGAAGATTGGCAACAGTTTCCTTCATGTTTGCGGCTATGCATATGTTGATGAGTACTCTGTGATTCTTCTGAAGATTGGCAACACTTTCCTTCATGTTTGTGGCTATGCATATGTTGATGAGTACTCTGTGATTCTTCTGAAGATTGGCAACACTTTCCTCCATGTTTGCGGCTATGCAGCGCTGCTGAAGATTTGCAATTCTTTCCTCCATGTTTGTGATCATGCGATGTAGCTGAAGTTTCACAACATCTCCCTCCATGTTTCTGACTATGCGATCGAGATGAAGATTTGCAGCCTTTACCTCCATGTCTATGAGTTCCTTTCAATATTAGCATACTATTAAGGATCACCAGTAGGCATGTCCCAACATCAGCAAGAACTGCAGCCCAAACAAGTGGGTGGCCGGCAATGGCCAAGACAAGGATAGCAGCCTTGGTAGACATCGACAAAATAATATTCTGTATTACTTTCCAATGAGCTTTCCTCGCGAGTTTGATAGCCGCTGGAACTTTTCTAATGTCATTTGACATAAGAATCACATGCCCTGTCTCAGTTGCTAGTGCCGAACCTGAAATTCCCATAGATATACCAATGTTAGCTGTAGCTAATGCAGGTGCATCATTTACACCATCCCCAACCATGGCAGTTGGCCCTTCTTTCTTAAATTCTGTGATGATTTTTGCCTTGTCTTCTGGTAAAAGTTCAGAATGGACCACCTCCAGAGAATTTCCTAGCTGCATATAACACAACAAATGTATGCAATTTAGTATGGAGCAAGCCATTGCTTTGCATATGAAATTATAGCTCTAAATTCTAATTTACCTGTTGTTGTGTATGCATAGCCGATGCTTGATTATCTCCTGTAAGCATAGCAGTTTTAATTCCCATCGAGTTCAAATCCTTGACTGCTTCAGCAGCCCCTGTTCGACACGTATCTGAGAGACCAAAAACTCCAACAAGGGTTGCTCCAGAGTATATGTATCCAATGGTGCTTCCTTCCTTCTTAACTCCTTCCACAGATGGCACTAAATACCCAAAAAAATTACATGATTAGACCAACCATAAACTAGAATTCTAAACTGCTATAATCACATAGAACAGAACAACTTTAACCTGTTTCACATCCTGCTCTCAGTGCAATTTTTCTGTTTCCAATGTAAATTTCTTCCCCATCAATCTTCCCATAAATTCCTTCTCCTGGAAAATTCTGATAGTCTTCAACACTTTCAGGCTTTGGCTCAATAGAAAGAGACCTTCCGAAATCAATCAATGCGGCTGCCATTGGATGGCTTGACTTACTCTCAATGCTTGATACCCTTGAAATTTTCGGCATTTAGTATCAATAACTTGTAATTAGCACATTGAATAGTTTCATTGATGTTAGTGAAATTCCTTACCAGTACATCAAGGTGTTTGAGTTTATCTCTTCACTGGGAGATTGAAATTCAGAGACCACAAATTCACCCCTTGTAATGGTTCCAGTTTTGTCAAAGGCCATGACCTTAACTTTGGCAAGAACTTCAAGATAGTCTACTCCTTTGATGAGAAGACCAGAACTTGCAGCTTTTGTAAGTGCACAGAAAGTGGCAACTGGTGTTGAGAGGATTAGAGCACAAGGGCACGCACTAACTAAAACAACCAATGCTAAATGAAACCAGTGGCTGCGGTTATGAACTCTTAGTGCAGCTGGAATCACCGCAAGACACGCTGATATAATTATAACACCTGCAAAATAAGTAACCAAAAAATATTATAAGGTTTTGCTGTACATTTACCAAAAATTAAGAGAAAACTTGTGAGTGCAATTGTGCAAAATGAGTAACTAAATCATGGAAATATGTTATGTTAGTGGGATAATGTTACTCTCCATTTGGACTATTAAATCATGGTTTAATCACAAAAGATAATATGTAAAGTTTTGCTGAAAATATACCCAAAAATGACGAGAAAACTTGTAATTGCAAATATGCAAAATGAGTAACTTCTGATTATGATCAATATGTAAAAGTCATTCTTCTATAACAAAGTTTATTTTTCTAATAAAAATTTGACAAACCTGGAGTATAATACTGGGCACATTTATCAATGATTCTTTGGGTTTTAGTTTTGCCATTCTGAGCTTCTTCCACAAGTTTTGCCATTTTAGCCACCACACAATCTTCAGCTACAGCAGTAGTTTTTACACAAATGTAACCTGAAAAGGGACAAACCAATTAATATATTTTTGAAAACTTAGTCTATTTTAATGTATCTAGTTAGAAGAGAAACTAATTAATTAGAATGTGCGGTACCATTTAGATTGATGGTGCCAGCCCAAACAGTGGAATCCTTTTGCTTGGCCACAGGAAATGACTCCCCCGTTAAGGTTTTCTCATCGACTTCACAGCTGCCATCTATAACAATTCCATCAATAGGTATAATTTCACCTGCTTTAACTGCAAGCACAGTGTTCAACTTCACCTCCCCAGCATCAACTTCTTCTCCAGTTTCGGCTATTACAGCCCTTTGAGGAGCTATGCTCATCAGTTGTGACATTACAGCAGTTGCCTGAGAGACATTGTTAAACATATGTTTACTTTAGTTTGATACATATTTTTCGACTTTGAAAACGGTTTATGAATATTATATCAATCATATTTCGAATATTAAAAATATTGAAATACAACAAATTTTAAATAGTGTCTAAATGTTTGAAATTTATCTTCGGATCACAAACCCGGATAAATTAAAATGTAATGATATGAATGAAAGAAAGAAGTAGGGCAGGTGATAGCAAACCTTGTGGCTTGCCCTAGTCTCAAGCCATTCTGCAATGGTGAAAAGAAAGATAATTGTACCAGCTTCTGTATAATCATTCATAGCAATTGTACCTATCACTGTTCACAAATAATACTTGAATTGTAAGTCAAGCCAATTGAACATTTTTACTTATAATTGGGATCATTTTGAATCCACTGTTTTCTTTGTAACATAGATTTTAAAAAAAAAAAAAAAAAAAAAAAGTTTAAATGAAGGTAATTATAATTAATTGGTTTGAGCGTCTGGGTCAGCCAAAAGGCAAAGATTAATTAATTAGGTAATTTTGAAAATGAAGAAAAGCTTTTGCTACCTTTTGAGTTGTAAAGGAGAACCACTCAACCAACTTAAAGAGGGGTCTCACATTTATGTGGTCGGTTTTTGTTGCGTTTATGTCAAAGAAAGAAAGCTATTTTAACAATGATAATAATAAAGAAAAAAAGGATAAAGAATAACAAGAAAACAAAACTGAAAAAACCTTTTTATGAGATTATGACTGTCTGAGTTCAATGAGAATTCATTTTCTTATGATTATATAGCGTCAGCATTGAGGACTCTACTGAGCAAAAAAAGAAATTGAAAATGACTTGGGAGATTGAAATTACTAAGCAATTTTGAACAAAGTCACTAGCTTTGGAAGCCCACGATAAGGCAATAGTGCCAATTAAGCTTTGAACAATAAGATAAGGTGTTGTAAAGGTATTTCCGGAAAAGGAAAAGGAAAAGGAAAACGACAACAAACCCTGGAGTGGAAAGAATACGCACGAAGCATAGGAAGGAAAGGGGAGGAGATAAAAAGAAAACTTATATTAGCACAAACACTTCCTTTTTTTTTTTTTTTTAATTAGCAACTCTTTATACCTTTTACTATGTCAATCAGATAATCCCTTGATTTAATACTAGAATACAGATTGATTGCATACAATTTAAAAAAAAAAAAAAAAAAAAAAAGCTATGGTTTGATGATAACATAATGATATCGTATCACATTAATTCGTAAAATTGATTTTATAATTATATTATTCCTAAAAACCAGAATATAAGAAAAGAAAAATAATATATACCTGCAATGAGTATAAGTATGTTGACATGCCCAAGCCTTAAATTTCTTAGAGCCACAAAGCCTTTGAGAATAATGGGACAAATGCCAACTGCAACAGCTCCAAGAGCCAACCAACGAAATGGATGATACAAATATTTGAAAAATGATAGAGCAAGCAATATTCCAGAAGCAACTGCATATGGACTTGGCCATCTTTTCTGGTAATTTTCCCCTCCATATGCTCTCACATTTGCCTCCAATCTTGCTTGATTCAGTGCCTTCACTGTTTCAATAAATAATTTATCAAACAAACAATCAATCTAATTACGAGGGCTGTTATGGGTAAAATATGTAGCTTCATTAATTAAAGTAGTTGACACTTTTCTATCACTTTACTCAATTTGAAAGGCCATTAATAATGTTGATATTAAATATATTGAAAACTCATCTTATAGAACGAAATATGTTCCATTTGCTATTCTTATTTAAATATATAATCCAGAGCAAATTTGTTACACAAAACAAATTGGTTACAAATTTTAAAATTCAACCCCCTTCTGCCTATCTAATAATTAATACGTGGTATTTTTTACTATTATTTTTGATGTCTTTCTTTTTGTTTGACAAATAAGAATGAATGTTGATGCTGTGGAAAGGAGTAAAAATAATTAGTGGAGGACCATGCGAGAAAATCAATGATGCATGTGACGAATATAAACAAACAGAAACAGCAATATAAAAAAGAGATCCCATACTTGCGTGTATCAAATTGTTTCAGGGAATTCAGTTCCAAAAACAAATATATATATATATATATAACAAAATCTCCGAAAGAAATTCCATGTAAACAAACAAATCTCAATTCTCAAAAACCAAATCCACTAATCCCAATTGAATAATGAATAAAATATATCTCTGCCAATTCATTGATCTTCCCCACCAAAACCCGCTAGATGCAGCCTACATCCCCCCCCACCTAATGACACTGACGTATCAGCTTGAATCATTTATGCTCTTTCAGTTAACCAATTATGTACTCGTTTTATTAAACTCAAGGGAGTAAGTTCTAATATTTTAAAACGTAAGATCTACACATAGTTAACCAAAACTTGACGGTGGATAAAATCTTTGTCTCTTATTTAAGAAATATTATTGGCCGTAAAGCAATCTTCTTTTCTATTACTAGGACTAGTATTAATTGGTTTAGCTGGAAATGTGCAAGATCATAACAATAATTCAAGCAAGTTTTCAGTCAAAAGTGGTGCATATAATATTATAATGAGTGCCATATCACATGGGGCCATGGCCACCACTCACTACTGAACGGAAAACACTATTGGCTCTTGTGTTGAGTTTTTCGAAAAGTTTAAAAACTTTGTAGGAAATTAAATTAATTACTTTCATGTGATTAAGATTAGGAATGTAATTTTCAATTTATAACTCTAAGAAGGGCAAAGGGGTCAATTTAAGAGTTTTTTTTTTTTTTTTTTTTTGTTAATCGAGGCTGTCCGGTCCAATTTTTCGGGACTCTAAAGTTAATAGTCGGATAAATCATTTCAGTGACCACCTCTATTAACAATCCAAGTAAATCGAACTCAAAATATTTTAAGTATAATATATTTAAGAGTCTTAATTGACCGTTTAAACCATCAAATGATGGTTTTTTTAAGAAAAGTTAATTTCATCAAATATATAAGGAAATAAAAATTTTTAACGTAAATATTCCCGTCATAAGATCCCACGAAAGGTAGACAAAATCAAAACAGAAAAAAGATGAGGGTCCTATTTTTTCGAGGAAAAGTTGATAAAATTAAAAAAGTGAAATGGCAGCAAAAAGAGAAGATTATAACATTATTTAAGTGAAAGAGATAAATTAAACTTTTAAAATAAAAGTTAATGCCCAATTACCGATTTCAAGCTGAGAAATGGTGAGATTATCATGGACGACAATGACTGTTCTGGTTGGGACGACGACTGAAAAATCTTTAACACCATCAAGAGACTTAAGGATGTTCTCTATGAGAGGAACCTCCGATGAACAACAAAGACCTAAAACATCAAAGTAGCTTTTCTGAAACTTTGTGGCCGCCATGTCTTTTTCTTGAGCACTCATTTTTAATTTTATTTATCTGTGCAAATTAGAGGAAACAAGAGGTTAATGCTAATTTCATATATTGATTAATCAATATATATATTGGGTGCAGAAGCGATATGCTCTGATATCACCGTTGTAATCCTAACAATACACATACCCAGATGATGAAGATCGAAGTTTGCAACAGGGAAAGGAAATTAAAACCAGAAAACTGGAAGAAATTGGAAGGTTTTGAAGAAAAATAAAAGGAAACTCAGGGAAAAAGAAGAAGAGAAGGTGGACAACCTTAGGATGAACGAAGGTTTTAGAGTGGAGTTGAAAGAAGAGGGTTGAGAGATTTAAGGAGGGAGGGGGGATTTAAGGAGTTGAGGACTCTGAAAGTGAAAGAATTGAAAAGACACTTTGGAAATTAAAGTGGAGAATATAATAAGAAAGCAAAAAATAAAGAAATTGTAGGGAGAGTTGTAATATTTTTGGTTGTGGGAATAATAATGGGTTTAACTTTGTGTTAAGGATGAGACAGAAAAATAGTGGGAATCAGGTAAAGAGTGTAATTGGAATCCACATGTGAACCCACATAAATGCTTCTCATACGCATAAGTCCTCATTTTCATACATAGCATGTTTCTCTTCTCATTTTCAGGTTTATTTACTATATATGGTAAGAAATTAAAGGACTAAGATTTATTTTAAATATTAGATAAGAATAGGATATATACATTCATTGGTCAAATTTAACCACATCAAAATTGATTTATGCCACTCTCTATGTATATACACATACATATGATGTATCAATGATTTTACAATCAAATAATCACAAAAACCACCTAGTAATACTATTAATACTTGTTCTACTAGTCTATCTAAGGGTCCGATGGTTTATTCCTCTTAAGTCTAAATGCAACAAATTTAAAAAAAATTAAGGGCTTGTTTGGTTTATTATTCCTATCCATATTCTCAATCCTATTCTCAAAATATTTGTTTGTTTAATTATTTGGGAAATATTATTATATTTTTTAAATATTTTTAGACCCCTTAAGTTTATTAATTTCATTAAATACCCCCAGGAAAAAAAATTTAAAAATTAACAAAAACACCCCAACTCACCCATAGTTACCAGATTCCGGCAACCACCCTCGGTGGTAGCAGGAATCTGTCACAACGACCTACAAACCACCGAAAATGGCCAGTAAGTCACCGATCTGGCTGTCGTTGACCGACAACGATGACCATATCTTTGGCTCTTTGGCCGTCACTGACGGCTAGATCTGGCCTTTTTGGGCTGTTGACGGCCAGATCAACGCACGTGTGGCTAGATCCGACTGATCTGAGTCGTAACGCCAGATTCAGACCAGATTTCGGCAATGGTGGCAGGAATCTGGCACTGTGGGTAGGTGGGGGTGTTTTTGTCATTTTACAAAAAAATTATATATTGGGGTATTTAGTTAAATTAGTAAACTTAGGGGTTTTTTTTGTAAATTTTTAAATTTTACCTCGTAAAAATAACCCTATCCAACTATCCAATACTATCCCCAAAATCCTATCTAAAATAATAAACCAAACACACATATATTTTATGTTTTTTTTTTTTTTTTTTTTTGTAGTAAAAAGCCAAAATATTTGGCTTTTGTTTGAATACAAAAACAAATTAATCAATGATAATATATAGTTTACTATACATAAGAACTAGGGGTGAGCATGGGTAAAGGGTGGAACCGGAACCGACAGGTATCGGGAAATTGGAACCAGGAATTTCGAAAAATTGTCGGTTAGGGTCCGATTCTGATTCTGAAAAATTGGAACCGAGAATTCTCGGGTGTGGTTCTGGTTCCTATAGTGTCGAAACCGACAACCGAAACTGGAATTGGAACCAAGGTTTGGGTTTCCAGGTAGGAATCATGACTGAATTATAATTTTTGTAAACTATTGGGGGTATATTTATAATTTTTTAAAAGTAGGGGGTAATTAAAATTAACCTGGGTACCCGGAACCGGAATTGAAACCTATTTTTTAGGTTTCTAGGAACTGAAACCGATCGGTTCCAATTTCGATTCTAATTCCAAATCTTAGGAACAGAGCGGTTTCAGTTCCGCTTCCCGTTCCTTCAAAAAATGTAGTGTACCTAGAACTGTTCACCCCTAATAAGAACAAACAACTCATAATTTATAATACAAACATATCCTTCAAACTTATGAATTCAGACACATTCAGCTAACAAACACATTCAACTTTCAGATAGAAAAATAAACACCACCTAAGTCTAAAAAAAATAAATAAATAAATAAAAAAATTGATGCGGCTTCATTAATAATAAGACTTTATTATTTGACACTTCGTAATTTGATAGATTGTGTTGAAGTTGGAAGCTAGAAGTTGGACTTGTTTACTTGATTGATATTCTTGTAATTTGAACTATATTTGTGATGATGTTTCTCCAGGCTTGTTATGTGATGTTAGTTCAATGATTTAAATTTTATAATGTGAGAAACTTATGATATTCATTATTAGTTTCATTCCAATAATTTTTGAGTTACTGAGCTTAATTTTGGTTAAACCTTATTTTATTATGAATTTAGTGAAGCATATTTTTGTTAAATGGCTTGGATGCATGGACATACCTAAGGGTGTAAGCTGAGACAAGTCGCTCACGAGTGGCTTAGGCTCGGCTCGATAAAAGCTGAAGCTTGAGTGGCTTGATACAATATTGAGTCGAGTTCTAACATGCCAATACTCGGATCAACCAGCTCGCGAGCTCCAGGGTATAAATGATAGTTTTGCAACTAATAGGGGGTGTAATAATTTACGTGTATTTGAATCCTAAAAATTGTAAAAATGACAAACACACCCCAATATACCCAAGTAACCATAATATGAAAAATTGAATTAGAAACCCAAACTTCTTCTCTTGCGGCATCAACTCACTTCTCCTTCTTTCTTTTTCTCCTCCTCCTCTGTAATCTTCAATCTTTATAAAACTCAAACCACATTTGGTTCTGTCTCAAACCACAACATTTGAAAAGTTATTGAAAACCTCTTAAGCGAATCCCAAAAAAGCTCTCATTTTCTTGATATCAACATGGCTTGTTTTACTTGTTGCGATGGCGAAGGAGATTAGATGCTTGAATTCTTGGATTGAAGTGGCATCTACCCTTTTCATTTCCCCAACTAGAACTTCAGATTCTTCGAGTTTGGAGACAATTACGGAAAAGGAAGTGAGGAATATGATGATTGATGAGATTTGTAAAACAAGGATTTTTGCTTGGTTGGTTGAGGACTTGATGCTTCCAAGTTAATGAAAGTATCCTATAAATTGTATGTAATAAACCTTAATTTTTGTAGTTGAAATCTAACTTTTTATTATAATGTTTAAGTTTCTTTGTTTCTTTATTTCAATGTGTCGAGCGGTGGAGTAAGAAGAGTCTGCAAGAGCGAGTCAAGCGAAAACTGCTCAAGCTCACCTTTTCTATGCTGAGCTCGAGCTCAAACTCAATGTTTCAATCTCGCCAAGCTCAGGCTCGAGTTTGAGCTCAAAACTGTAGAAGCCAAGTCGAGCTCCAATAACCTAAAGCTCGGCTTGGCTCGGCTTGTTTACATCGCTAGACATACCTATGTAGTGATTAGTGGGGGTTGGAGACCCCACTCAAAAATAAATTAAATTTTTTTTCTTATACTTGTTTTTTTTTTTTTTCTATTGTTATAATTTATTTTGCAAATTGCCTGCACTCATATAAACATCTAACCAATTTTGTTTCTATTGTTTATTAATCAAATAAATTTTTGTTTGAAGATAAGTTTATTATTAATATCGTTGTAACTTAGTAGGATTTAGTGAGAGAAAATTATCTACCTTCTCTCTAGGATTAACTAACCCCTAACCCATCTCAAACACCATCTTTTCCACCAATTCGCCACCATTAACACAATCCACCTCCACCTTCACCATTCTCCACAACCTTTTCCTACCACCATTAACTCCCACTCCATCAACATCTTCTTTTTCACCTTAACCTTCATAAACAACCGTCACCACCTTATTTTCCCACCAACTACCACCACCAATCCATCCACCATCATCCCGTCACATCCCTTTTTTCCCCATCCTACTTTTGCAGACCTTTTTCATCTCCCTCCACCATTTTCTTTTTCCTCTTGGCTGAATTCCTTTGCGTGGGTGCTTTTGAATTGTTGTTTATGGAGTTAAGGTAGTGGTTGGTTTTGGTGTCGACCTTTTTGGTGTTGGGTTGGCCAGAATTGGCCAAAGCTGGGTTGGTTGGAATTGGCAAGAGTTGGGCTGGCCGAAGTTGGCCAGTGTTGGGTTGGCCGTAGGTTGACCAGATATTGTATAACCATTGATGGCACTTCTCTCTCCCTCCATCCTCAATTTTTTGAATTTTCCTCTATTTCCTCCTTATTTGCCACGTGGCACTGGTAGCGTGCCGAATGCTCCAAATTAATAACATTCCTAACCTAACTACTGAATTGTATATAAGGTAAGCAAGGGTCGATCCCACAGGGAATGATTTGATTGATTTCTATATTCTAAAACAATGAAAACAACAGAAAAATAAAATAAAACCCTAAACAGTGAACATGACACAGTAATGAAAGGGGGTTGTAGTCAAGGCAAACTAAAGTAAAACAAAGAAATCTCTAATGGTAGGAAATATCAAGTTAAAAACAATCAGTTCTTGGTTCAAGATCCACCTAAACATGCATTGGACATGAACTAACTGTAACACTATTCTATCTCATTATTATGGAACTATTGACCTTAGGAAACAACAAGCTCTGTTACCCAAATTTTCCCTTAATTGTCACTACTGAAATAAGCTCTCCAAGTAGATCCCAACCCTTGAACAACCTAGAATAAGCTCTCTAAGTTTAATTCAATGGCAGCCTCAAGAATTAGGAAAATAGATCAATCTAAGCAACAATCATGCAAGATCGGATTATTTAACTTAGGTTATGTTATTCAAGATGACATATTGAAAACTTGTCCATAATCATCTATCATCATATGTTACTCATTGAATAGAAAAAGGACAATTACGTATCACAATTCCTAATTCTAACAGGTAAAATTCCGATTAAACAATTTAGCATGCCAAAACTAAATCATCCAAACAAAAATCATAAACAATCAAAACAGAATAACATAAACAATTCCAATAAAAATGAGATTAAGAACAGTGTTACTGAAGTTAAGTTACACCAATGACATGAATTTGGGCTTCAAAATCCCCTTGAACTGGAGAAGAAAGATCAGCCGCACATCTTAACCTAGAAAGTAAAAAAAAAAAAAAACTTAAAAAAAAAACTTCACTGCCGTCTCCCCCTTGGTTAACCTAACACTCCTCAATAAATAACATTTTTTTTTCTTAATTCTACCCCAGGAATCACGGAAAATCTTTCCTAGATGTTTCCTAAAAGATAGACTTCTAGATTTGTCAAAATCTTATCAGATATGGAAAACAGAATTCGTCTCCAGCTTTCACCAGGATTCTTGCAATGTAAAACATATTTTTTGGGCTTGGTCACTTCATAAAAATTTTAGTCCCAGATGTGTAGTTGAATCTGGGGTTTTGAATCACCCGCTTTCGATATCTGAAGCTCCAGTTAGGCCCATTTGAAGATTCAATACTCAGCCAGTAAATCCTTCCGCGACTAGGATTCCAGGTCCGGTTTTGCAACAACTAATGAAGACCTAAAAAAACTGGGATTCTCGTCCATAATACCTTCCTGGAAAGCTTGATTTGTCAACTTTGCTTTTTCTGAAGAACACGTTTGCAATCGAAAAATCTGACTCCATGAAAAACCTGGAAAACGTAGCACTGGTCAGAATAACAAAAATCTAGAATTTCCTAATCTTTTCTCAATTATTTCCTAAAGTCTATCCAAATATGCCAAACTTATAAAATAAACTCTAATCAACTCAACTAGGCATAAAACATAACAAAAAAACATAATATGGAAGAAATAAAAAATATATAAATTCCACTCTATCAGGCACTCTCCTATTGGCTTGGGGGATTGCTCCTTTATCTTGTTGTCACAACTTTCCACATCACCTATCCCTCATTGCTCTTTGGGATTACACTTTCCTTTATCCTTATCTGCCACATCACCTTATATTCCACTTGACTTCTTGCTCCACCTCATTGCCACATCACCCTTATCACTTGCCATGTGTGCCACGTCACTTGGGATCCATTACACCAGGAGAGAGGAAAAAGGAAAGAAAAAAATTTTAATGGTGACCGTTGCTTCCTTTTTTCTACTCTATTCTTGCTAGTGTTTTACTCTATGGGGACTTTGGTAATTGAATCTAATCCTATTTCTTTCCTGCCCCTTCCTTATTGCTTAAGTTATGTCTAAGGAGTGTTTCTAAGGATGAATTGGTCAAGGTTGAAGGTGCTAATAAGAAGAATTTTGTCTTGGAAAAGGTAGCCGAAAATCAAAGAGGATCAAGTGTGAATGGTAACAGCTCATTGTATGAAATGGGGGAGTACATTTGGGTGGCTCGGGATGCCATTTATGAGGAAGTCAAAAAAGTTGTGGAAGAGGATTCTTCATTGGAAAAACATAAGAATGATGTAGAAAGAGATGTTGATGGAGGCATCAATCCTTTGAAGGGAATTGGTGTAAAAAAGAATAAGTTGGTAATGGAATATGAGATTGACAAGATTGAGGTTAATATGAAGACTCCCAATGGTATGGATAGTATGGCGGTTGGTTCCTTTATTCCCTTAAAAGGAAGTAGCTTAAATGGGATGCTTGGAAGCACTGTCCTTAACGCCGTGAATGAAGAGAAGAGGAGAGAATGGAAAAGCCTTCTTTATTCCAAGAGAGCTAGTGCATCCCTAGAGTATATTAAGCCTAAGTTGAGACTAAAGCTGGGTCTAATATTAGAGTATCTCCTCTTAGTAAAGTTTCGGCTTAGGAGTAGATAAATGGAGCAACTGTTTTGTGGGTTTTTTCCTTGGTAAGAAGATGTCTTACTTCTAGGTTAAAAACTTTGTGGATAAAAATTGAAAATGGTTTGCAGATGTTAGGGTTGTTTCTTATGGGCATGGAGAATACATTCTTAAGTTCGCATATAAGGCTACTAGAGATGAGGTGTTGGAAAGTGGTCCTTGGTTCATTGGAGGCCGACCCTTTTTTCTTGAAGAAATGGAGTCCTAACTTGAGTGCAGGCATGAATGGGGTGACTAGGGTTCCCATTTGGGAAAAATTTTATGGTATCCCTCTTGAGTTTTGGACTTCCAAAGGGTTAAGCCATATAGCCAGTGTTCCTAGAGTGTCCTTCACATGGACAACATAACCGAGCTAAGAGATAAGCTAGAATTTGCTAAGGTGTGCTTGGAAATGGATTCTTCCTCAGAATTTGGGGATTCATTTGAGCTAGAATTGTTGAATGGTGAGATTGCTTATATTAAGGCGGAGCATACTTGGAAACCCATCACTTGCTCTTGGTGCAAGACCTTTGGGCATATCCAAAGGAATTGTCTTATGGCTCCTAAGGAAACTAGCCTTATGTTTATTAAGAAAAATCCTACCCCTCAACCTAAAGAATGGAGGCAAGTCTCTTTAAGGAAAAACCAACTTGTTACCTTAGAAGGGAAATGAGAGAGTGCTAACGAAAATGAGAAAGCGAGGTGAGTGCCCCAAAGGAGAGTGTGAACCATTTTGCGGTTTTGGCCAAGAGGCCAAGACTAGAGAGGAAGACCTTGAGGTAGGAGAGGAGAATTTGAGAGAGATTGTCTTAGGAGAGAAACCAATTGTAGCATACCCAAATAACGATGCAAATGGGTAGGCCGAGATTTTAGAGAATGGGGGAGATGTGATTAAGGACGAGAATCTTAGTGTTTTTATGAGTGTTATGCCTCAGATTGAACCATCACCACCTAGGACCCCTATTGCTATGGATTGTTTGGAGGTAAGGGAGATGGAATCTATTTCTCCTCGTGTGGCCCCATTAGTGAACTTGAGGAAAGTGGATGAAAAAGATGGGAAAGAGAAAGGGCTGGTTGAACTAACAAGAAGTCAAAAGAAGAGGCTTGCGAAAAAGGGAAGGATCCCACCCAACTTTATCACCAATCATGATTAAGTTCGTCGCATGGCACATTCGGGGTCTCAATACCCCACCAAAGCAAAAAGAGGTTAGTAATTTAATTAAGAGTAATAATATTTGTTTATGTGCTGTTTTGGAGACAAGGGTGAGAGAGAACAATAAAGATAGAGTAAAGAGCTTAGTTTTCAACAAGTGGTCCATGGTGGATAATTATCATGCTTGCGAAAGGGGTCAGATTTGGGTGGGATGGGATGCTAAAATGGTGAAGGTTGATGTCCTCTCTAGTTCAACCCAAGCTATCTATTGCTTTGTTGAGTGTTGGCTTCTAAGTGTAAGTTCAGGTTTTCTTTTGTTTATGGCCTTCACAACACGGGGGAGAGGAGGGATCTTTTGCAAGAGTTAAATTATCATTCTAATATTTTTGGCCGAGAACCTTGAGTCATTATGAGGGATTTTAATCCTTTAAAAAATGTGAGGGAAAAAGAGGGTGGATTCTTGTGTTGGGAGCCACATTGTGGAGAGCTCGATGAATTGTGTAAAGTGGTGGAAATGGATAACCTTAGATATATAGAGGTAATTTTTTCACTTGGAACAACGAGGGGGATGCTTCTAAGAGAATTATGTGTAAGCTTGATCAGGTGTTGGGTAATGAAAAACGGGGTATTTGTTTTCCCTCTTCTTTTGCTTCTTTCCTTCCCCCAGGTATTTTCTACCATTGTCTTATGATACTAGATTATGGGTTGGTGTCTCAAGTGGGAAAACCCCTTTTAAATTCTTTAATTTTTGGACTAAAGATGATTCATTTATTCCGTAGAAAAATTTGGAGAATGAAGGTGGAAGGCAATCCTATGTTTAGATTAATAACCAAGCTAAAGGCATTGAGATATGAGCATAAGTTGCTAAATGAGAAGAAGTTTTGGAACATTTCGGAGAGAGTGAAAAAAGCTAGGATTTACCTCCGCAATACCAAAGGAAAATTAGACATGACCCGTTCAATGAGGTTTGCATCCAATTAGAGAGGGAAAGGGCTTCTAAATTATTTAAGTTAGCCAAGGCTGAGGAGTCCCTTGCAAAGCAAAAATCTAGGGTGAAATGGTTGAGAGAAGATGAAGACAACACTTACTACTTCTTTAAATCCATCAACAAGAAGAGAAATAGAAATAAGATTGCATCTGTAAGGTTGGATGACAACAACCACACAAATGACAAGGGAAGGATAAAAAAAGAGTTTACTTTCTTCTATAAGGAGCTCTTTAAAGAAAAGAATCATAGAAGGAGATTCGGTGGGCTAGAGGAAATAATTGATCCCATTATTTCGAGTGATGAAGCAAATAGAATGGTTGCTGAGGTTACTAGGGATGAGATTACCAAAATTATGTTTGAGATGAACAAGGATAAAGCCCCGATGGCTATGGAGCATTCTTCTTTCAAAAGGCCTGTTGTGTGGTGGGAAATGATGTGATGGAGGCTGTCCAAAACTTCTTTCAATTGAGTAAGATGCTTAAAGAAGTAAATTGCACCATTATAGCTCTTGTTCCCAAAAGTAAGAACAATACTTCGTGTGGGGACTTTAGACCTATATGTTGCAACATCATCTACAAGTGCATTTCTAAGATTGTGGCTAACAGGATGAAAGGTATGCTACCTAAATTCATAAACCAAGCTCAAGTGGCTTTTATGGAAGGTAGGAAAATAGGGAACAATATCCTCTTTAGCCAAGAGCTTCTCCATCACTATAATAGGGGTTCGGACAAGGTGAGGAGATATGCAATAAAAGTTGATCTTTTAAAGGCCTATGACTCGGTGAGATGGAACTTTATTCTTAAAACTCTCAAAACCCCTAAGTTCTCAATTGCTCTGAATGGGGAGCTTACCAGGATCTTTGGGGGGACTATGGGCCTTAGGAAAGGAGACCCCATATTTCCTTATCTCTTTGTTATTGCCATGGAAATCCTTTCAAGATTAATGTTTAGGGTAGTAGCCAAGGAGGATTTCAAGTAAGAATTTAAATCTAACCCACCATTGTTTTGCAGATAACATCATGTTTTTTTTCCATGTTGACAAGAATTCCATTATTAACATGAAGAATGCTATTGATTTATTCTCTTGTTGGGCTGGTCTCAAAGCAAACATTGCCAAAAGTCACATTTTTCTATCCAAGGTGCAAGACGAAGAAAAGCTCAAAGCTATTTTCAGGTTTGAAGAAGGCTTTCTTCCAATGAACTGTTAGAGTAGGTGCCCTAGAGCCAATCAATTATTGTAAGATTGACTCTGTAATAAATGTTTATTTATCAATAAAAGACATATTCTTCTATATCATGTAAATCATAGTTATATGTAATGACATATGTCCTTAGGATGGTAGAACCGTAATGAGGGTATTAAGTGTTTCAAATCTTGATAGTGAGAACTCTATGATCACATATGGTGGCCATTCTAGAAACGTCTGTAGCCCTAGTATTATTCTGACCAAGGACACAGATAATACGGTAAGGCTATCATAGCGTTGAATGACCGTGTCGAAAGGCAGTGACTGATCTCACTTGTCAAGGTTGTTTGCTGACAACCTGGTGCAACACATCCAGAGGATTCCATATGGTTGGTAACCCCAATGTCTATGGAATAAATCATCTAACGGATGGTGGTGCATGTGATCCTTAGACTTGAGATCACCAGAGCGCCTTGTGAACCAATTGGTGTAGTTTGACACTAGCCCAATGTAGTTCTATTCAAAGCTATCAATACGGTAGTGATTGGCTACATTGAGAAGTGTATCGAGACTATAGTTGATCGACAAATGATTCATCACTCCTGGGTACGGGAGAAGTTATCTCACTGGGTAATTCAGTAAATGGCAATGACACTAAATCTGTGGCCACAATGGGATTGAGTTGATGCTCAATCCAATTTATTATTCCGGTTATTGGTCCATTAATTGAATACAAACATGTCAAGGATATCTGAGGTTGACACTATTTTGGTACCTCAGTCTCGATGAGATAACAGATGATGAAAGGATTGGATTGCACGGTAACCATACTGCTGACAAGATACAATTTCGCTGAATCCGAATCTATCGGGTGGCCATGATACCTTGCTAGGGGCCAATCTTGGTCTGTGTCTAGTGAGATGATTAATTTGTGTTAATCGCGATACTACACACTACTGATATGATGAGGAGCGGGTCACACACTTAGAAGATAATTTAAGAATCAATTTGTGAGAAGGGTATTTTCGTCTTTCAGGACAAAAGGGTATTTTGGTAATCTCACAGTGCAATTAAATTTGCTGAGGTTGTTACTTGTATTTAATTTTAATATTAAAATTAAATTAGTGAGATTATATTTAAATATATCTCTGTATATATTTAAATTAATTATTATTAGTAATTAAATGTTAATATATATTAATATATATTAATTAATTAATTATAATACCATAAAGGGGGTGTTTGGTTGCAAGGGTGAACTAGGGTTGGAGCCCATGGTTATTCCTAAGTGGAATTGGGTTTTAATTGTTGCATTGTATAAGTGCAACTTAAAATTAAAACAAATGAGGAACTCATTCATTCAATAAAATATAAAAAACCCTAGCCACCCTTTTTACTCTCTCTCTCACGTTTCACTCTTGAGTAAAAAGAGAAAAATTTTCTTTTCTTCTTTCTTGATTCTTGATGCCTTTCGATTGTTCTAGCAAAATAATAAAGGGTTCTACGGATTGTCTTCGTGTGGATTTCCGTGAGTGCGATCCTACTTTGGATCGATTAGTGAAGAATCATGTGAACAGTGTTCGGTGAACAGTGTTCGGTGAACAGTGTTGATAAACAGTAACCGGTGAACAGTGTCGATAAATAGTAGCTGGTGAATAGTGTTCGTGAGCATAATTAGAGATATTCGGAGGAGCCTCCAAACGTGTGTAAGCATTCTGAATCCTTGTATGGATTTCTCTATATTGTTGTAATGCAAAAGGTTATAAACACTATAATCTGTACCTAGATTTGGGATTAAAGCATATGATTGGTTTTTATTTGTTTTAAAACTGTGTTTTTCCATTGCGTAAACCCGATCACATGCTAACAGTGGTATCAGAGCCTTGGGTACCAGATTATTTTGTTTAATCATTGATGTTTGATAACATGATTTGTTTGACAACATGTTTTTGTATAATATGTTTTCATGAATCTGGTGGATTTTGTATATTATTTAATTGATCAATTGACTAATGATTTGTTGATGAGTGACTTATTGGTTGGTTGATGTCTTGGTCGAGTGCTTGTGCATTCGATTTGATTTGGATCCATATCGTTACGTGAAAAAACTGCAAAAAGGGTTACTGTGTGATTCTTTGTTTTGTGGCGTTAGCCACGGTGAAATGCAAAAAGTGAATCAGGTCGCGGCGAAATAAACCTTTGTCGTGGCAAACTGCCAGAAAAGTAGATCTAGCCGCGGTGAAATAAAACTTCGTAGTGGCATGAATCTCTTTGGAACGGTTTGTGTTTTCTAAAAGTTTATGGCGTTTGTTGCGGTGAAATAAAACTTTGCCGTAGCAACCATGTGTGTATGAACTTCGCCGCAGCAAGAAAGCACTTGTTCCATTTTGCTTTTCTGTTTTTCACATAGGGGGCCAAATTGCAGTTTTTGAACCTATAAAGTCATAATAATTCTGCACATATAAGAAGGGTAATTTAATAATTCTACCCACGCAAATTCAAAATGTTAATTTTGGATGTATGCAATGTTCTTGTTTGAAATTGGATGGTGCTTGGTACATGAGCCTTAGACCTTTGGTATGTTTTTGTAATTTTGGCTTTGCTTGTAATTTTATAAAGAAATGGGACATGCGTGTCTTACCTCTCTCTCTCTCTTATATCTCCATGTATTTCTTCTTCTCATCTCACTCCCGTCGTTTGTAACGCGAGGTTTCTATTTTATTGATGTAAATTAGAATAAGGTTTTTTCTATTATAAAAATACTTTGTAATGATCATGAAGAAGAAACGAAGGAGCTATGAAGAGGAAAAATGTAACACCCACGTCAAGGTACATAGCTTTATTTATGCCCTAATACCTTTAGTAGAATTTTTTTAAAGTTATCTTGAACAAGTGTGAAGAAAATTCCTTAAAACTTCATTAGGGGTAAAATGGTCTTGTCACTCATAATTAGTTGAAAAAGTGGGGAGTGAAAAAAAATAGAATAACATGGAGAAGTTAATAAAAATGAGGGCATTCTTGTAATTGACTAAGGGACATAGATGGAATTTTTAGAAAGTGCAAGGGTAAAATGGGAAACTATATATATTATTATGTAGTAATAAGAGTTCAAGAAGAGAAACCCTAGCCACTCCACCCATAGTTCTTGCCACCTTCACCCCAAATTCTCTCAAATTTCTTCACTAAATTTTCAAGGAAATTTATAGGATTTTGGCTAGATTTTCAATCCTAAGCACGCAAAGGTAAGATTCTTAGACCAAGATGTGAGATTAAATTTTAAAGTTTTGAATTCTTATGGTTTTATATGCTTAGGGTTTAAGAGGAAAGGAAATTATATCAAAGAGAGATTATGGTGTTGGAATTGCTCAAATTCAAGGTAAGTAAATCCAACTTTAATTTTGATTGGATAAATACTTGTGTAGAGAAATTTCTTATATGTTGTATTTGTGTTTGGATGATAAGAATTATGTATTGAAATTGAGATTGTTTGATATGTGAATCTCATGGTTATGAGAAGTGATGATTTGTATGTGTTGAGTTGATGAAGTTTTGGATGAATTATGGAATAATGGATGTTGAGTGGTGGAGTTGAATTTTCGGCTAGGTTGGATGTTGGCTTTAGAGAGTTATTTGTTCCAATTTTGGTGGCTTGAGAAATGTGTGGAAGTGTAACCAATTTAGGGTTTGTATGTGCATGTAAGGTGTTTGATGAAATGTCAAAGAAAGTGCATATATATAAGTATGTTAGATTATTACTTTGTTATGGAAGTGTTGTTGGTAGAGAATACTAATTCCATAATGATATCTTTATATGCCATAATGCCTTCTTACATTTGAGCATTTGCATTTAGAAAGAATAGCAAAAAATGAGCATATTTACATGCACATATATATGTATGAAAACATTAAAGAATAAAGAGAAAAAAAGAAAAGAAATTAATTGTAGAATCATTATCTAAAGAATATAATTAAAGAATACTTCAAAACTGAAATTTTACTTAAAGAAATATAAAAAGATAAGAGAAGAGAAGGTTGTTGCGATGGAGAGCTCGTGAGTGACAGAGAAGAAGAATAGGCCCGCATGAACAAAACCTTTAGTGAGCGGCCTAAGAATAAGAAAGAAGAATTTGTATAGCCCGTAAGAAGTGCATGTGGATGATGATTGTACCCAAGAAAGAATTTGAGAATACACTCACACGGCCAGGGTTCTAAATCCATGCCTCAACTGAGTCCGATCGGTAAAAAAAGAATAGAAAAGAAAAGAAAGAAAGAAGAGAAAAGCAAGAAAAACAGAAAAGAAAGAAGAGAAACAGAAAACAGAGATAGAAAAGAAAATGCATTGCATAGAAATAGTTTATGCATTTGTGCATATGCATCATGCCATTTCTACTACCCCGAGTTAGTTTCCCTATTTGTGCTTACATATCGGTAAGTGAGAAACTAGGATTTTAGAAAGAGCAGAGAAGAATTGAGAAGTTTGGTGTAAAGAAAGAAAATCCAGGATCTAAGTAACAGAGAAAGAATAGAAGTATTGTAGGTTTACTTACTGAGCAATTAGTGCTCACTCCGTTGATTACTCTGTTTTTGCAGGTAATAGATAGGGGTGTTCAAAAGTGGTTAACCAAACCGGTTAACTGCTTTTCTGAACCGAACCGGATTTTCGATTCGGAAAAATTTCCGAACCGGTTTTAGAGAAAACCGGTTTTTTGGTTAACCGTTTTAAAAAAAGCAGTTAACCGTTTGTGAACCGGTTTTCCATTTTTTTATAAAACTTTTTTTTTTTTTTTAATTT